CATCGTCTTTTCCCAGGTCTGCTCCATAGTTTCCTCCAGATCTCCAAGAGATACCCGGTCATATCTGCTGCACATGCAGTTGGGTCTCATTACACTCCAAAGCTTAGCAGGAACTTTTTCAAAGTATGTGACAACTTTTAGGGCAGTAGCCTAAAACAAAACCCATTCTAAATAGAAGCACTAACCCTCACCTTCCTCCTCACTCCAGCAGAGCCCTTTCCAACCAAACTTTTCCCCAAAGACCACTCTTCCTTTAGATAGCCTCCCCATGCTGCTGTCTCCTCAAAAGGCACCTTCAGGATGGACAGTACTGTGTCCTGTCATTCGTACCCACAGCTTCATCAAGAGGCTGGAGAGTAAAAAAAAAACAAAAACCAACACCACCAAACCCTACAGAACAGTTATTTTTCAGTGTGAGGAAACTGAAGATAAAGTTTTGACTCTTTTGCAGGCATACAGTGAAAAGACTACTCTTATTTTTTACAGGTGGGGGAACTGGATGTAACCTTCCACTAAGGGAAGTATTTTGATGTACAGAAAATAGAAATGACAGAAAAAGGTAGGCATCTCTCTTCTAGTATGTAGTGGTTACACCCAGATAGTGATACAGTTTGACTCACATTTCTGGGATGACTGAAAGAACCTGCATTTCAGCAGCACTACGGTCAAAACCCCCAGGAGCTATATGTGCTGAAGGAGGAAGCCAGAAAAATAACTTCTGCGATTGGCAGAAGAGAGAGGGAGACCAGCACAAGCACAGAACACCACCCAACCTCACATTTCACTCAAAGCATACAATTGCAGAACAACGCCAGGCTCTTCACTATTATTCTTCCTTAAGTTTAGACACAACCTTTTCAAACAAAGAAACCCCACGGATGCACCACAGCACCCTTCCAAATTTCACTGACACTGTCCCCAAGCCAAATGAATTTTCAGTAAATCACCCTCCAAAGAAAAGTGTATTGAAGAGCACTGCTTTAGAAGTCTCCCTCCCACAGTCCAGCTCCCAGCTCTCATCTGGGCAGCTCACCCCACACCTGCATGAGGTCCTCCACCTCAATACCCTCTCGCATGACTCAGGGCAATTGGAGCACAGCCCTCTCCAGATGCTGTTGCCATCCAGGCTCTGCAGCTCCAGCTTATTGAACAGTTTAGAAATTGAATAAGTTTTAATGTACCAAAAGTAAAGGGAAGGAAGCAACACTCCCACTCCAAACACATGCCCCTCTTCCATGAAACCTCTGACTTCTGACAAGTTCAAGCCTCTTTTCTACTAGGAAGGCCTGTTCTGTCAACAGAAACCCAGAGGGGAACTTGTACCTGGTGGAAATCTCAGAAGAGACCAAGGCAGTTCCACAGTATTTGACTAGACACCAAGGCCCACGCTCCCCCACATCCTCCTTTCATGTCCCAACAGATTCCTGCTTGAACAACAAGCTCATTTTTAATATCATCTCCCCTAAAGAACAGCTTTCATCCCAGTCCCTCTCACTTTAACACAAAGAATCTTAAATGCCCTTATGCCACAGGAAAAATCAGTACCAGAACTTAAAATACAGATGCAATAGTCTTATTTCAAGGTTTTCAGACTCCTGCCTCCTCTGACACAGAGGTTTGCTGTAAAGTCTGTAATGAAATGCAAAGCATGGACCCAATGTAGCACCACAAGTCATGATGTTACATGAATATAAACAACAGAATCAAGCATCCAGGTTTTGCACACCCACTGCTGCTACAGAATTTGGTGTTTGCCCAGCACAGGCAGCGCAGCACACACCTTACTGTGCAGTCAGACTAAGATCACTGCAGGAGCTCCAACCTCAGCTGCTTCTCACTTGAGATTTACAAAATCACTTGGCACCCACAGCTGCAAACATGTTACATGTTGCAGCTCACGGGCAGCCCTTGCACTCTTGCCCAGCCTGGGTGGGACAGTCTACGTCCAACAGGGCTGCACAAAATCCTGCTCATTCAGCAGAGGTGGATGCAGCAGCTGGATTTCTGCTTATCCCCCTAGGTCCTAGGAGAAAAGGGTAGCCAGGAACAACAAGCAAAGGTGATGCGGAAAATAAGCAGGCTGAACCCAGAGGGACACACCACTACACACAAGCTCCCTCATACAAAAACTGTGTTCCTAGAAGATCCCAGCTGTCCCAGTTCTCCCACTGATGCCCTACGATATGCAATCTGAGACTCTCCTTCAGCCATTGCTTCACAGCTTACTTCAGTGACTCCAAAATTTCTCCCTCAAGTCCCAGTTCTGCCCCACCTGCCCAGACACCCACAACACCCAGATGCCTGCAGGCACCTCAAACAGCTGCCTGCAATCTGCTGCCCACCTGCCCAAACCAATTCAAGCACCCAGGACCCATCCCAAATGCCAATTCCTATGCAGATACACCCCCATGTCCTACCAGATGGAGGCAAAGCCAGTGTTCTTACACTGCATTCTCTGGTCATCTAGATTTGCAAACAAGCAAGCTATGTTGTGAGCTCGTTTTCAGACTTGCAACTATCAGCATAAATGATAATGCAGAACTAAAAGTCCTTGACAGCAACTGATATTTGTTCTTTTATTTCAGTTTAACAGGCACTGCTCATCCACAGCAGACTGACTCCTTGAAGAGGGGCACATTTTCCTTCGTGCTGTTCCCCTTCCAAGACCCCTGCAGCAGGAGAAGAAAAGCTAAACGCTACACAAGCGGAGAAACTTGCTGCCCAACAAATACTCCAGGGCACTGTCAGCACAGATAAGCTGCTATAAACCCAGATCATCTGCAACTGCAGGGCTCAGGTTTTCCTCTACCCCATGATATCTTCTACCCACTATGTCAAGGCACTATGGCTGTGGGTAATATTTAAGCTCAGCTAGTTACTAGTTCCACAAGCACACTGCTAGCCCTCCAAGGCAGGGGCACAGCCATCAAGTCCAGCCTGCTATCTGGATGGTGCAGAAGACTGAGGGATTTGGGGGGTTTGTAAAGCCTACAAAGCTTTACATTCCTGTGAGGTCAGCCTGACGACTCTTCCCTTTTTGCTCGCCTGTACTAAGGGAAAAAAAAAGAGGAGAGATTCATAGATTCATATTCGGCATGTTAAAATCCTCAAAGACATTCTGCTAAAAGTCAGACTTGAAAAGTCCTATGCAGGCTAAAAAAAGCACAGGCAGGGACGCATCCATGTGTTTATGTGCCCTCATAAGAGGCGGGGAGGGATTCAAGACTGGGAGCAGGTGAAAAACCAGAAGAGAAAGTGGTGCCCACCCAAAAGCAACTGGCACGGGGCATTCAGCAGGCAAAGCCCCCGTTAATGGGACAGCCCACGCGGGACCGTGGGGGTCGGGGAGCACAACCTAGTTGAGGAAGGGGCTGTACACCCCAAACTCACCAACACACACCCTACACCAAGCTTAGCTTTAACATCCAAACCCATGGGGGGAGGCACAGGGTGACCCCCTCACA